AGAGAGAGAGAGAGAGAGAGAGAGAGAGAGAGAGAGAGAGAGAGAGAGAGAGAGAGAGAGAGAGAGAGAGAGAGAGAGAGAGAGAGAGAGACCTTCCACCACGAACACCCTGTGGTTGGCCCTACAACCGCCCCCACCCCCTTCCCCGCGAGTCTGCAGCAGGCCTGAACTTGTTATAATAATCATGGATGGATTCAAAGATCCTTCCTTTTTTTCTGATTGGCTGACAAACACTTCTAGATCTTTGCGACTGACGGACGGGGAGCTATTGCGAAGATCAAGGTCATGCCAAACTGCTTTTTTCTTTCCCCCCTTAAAGGAGTAGCCCCTGACATTATTATCTTCATCTGAGCCCATTGGGATTTTAAGTTATGACTCCTATGAGCTTTTGAAGTTTTTTTTTTTTTTTGTTAATAAAAAACTAAGCTATATTCTTCTCTCCAATATGCCTCACACTACCTACCCTCATGGCCTATATCTCCCTAGATTGAGTTGTGGACCTACGGGATGCTTTCCTCCCCGATGTATCCTAGCCTACCTATCCCCTCAGGGTTGAGCCTTCCCGGTTGAGCCTACCCCTTCAGGGTTGAATCTAACCCCTACCGTCTTCACCTGAATAGAACGCCTGGTCATTATAGCTGTATTTGGCACAATTTTCAGCCCAGATACGGCGATAATTACCGGGTGTTCTATTCCGGTGAAGACGGTAGCACAGGTGGAAAGGACCCAGCCTTTTCCCCTACCAAGTCCAGGGAGGGGTGAACCGTCTATCTCAGGTGACGAGCACGAAGTGTGCTGCAGGAGGCCGTGGGGGGCCGAACGGATGCCGAACGGATGCCGAACGGATGCCGTGGGAAATCGAACCCACGACCTCCTGAATACCACTTGCGTGCCCAGCCAACTGAGCTAGGCCGCTGGCCCGAGATTTTGAAGCCGTGGAGAATCGAACCCATGTCTTTAGACTCTTTACCATTCAGCCACATGCTAAATTGAATTGCTCATTTGCAGTCGCACCCTTTTTCTTCTTCTTCCCCCCCCCCCCCACCCCCGATCAGCGAGTCATGCCACCATTGTCTTCGACATCATTCTCAGAACTGTTTCACGGTCTGGGAGGGCGGGAATTGCACCTCTCTCCGTCGTCGTTATCGCGCCGCAAGCGTTAGCGAAATGCAGAGCAGAGCGCAGCTTCTCTTCATCAGTAAGAATGGACCGATCTTCCACAATTTGCGACAAAAGCCCGGCAACAAACGCATCGCCTGCGCCGGTGGTGTCGATCGTGCTCACCTGTACACCAGGAACATGACCAGATGCGGACTTGGTGAAGTAGGAGGAACCACCAGCTCCTCTTGTCACGAGAAGGAGCTGAAGATCATCATGCCAGAATCCTCGAACAAGGTTTTCGTCATGGGGGTCCCCACCTTCACTCAAGAATGCCAACTCATCGTCACTTATCTGCATCCACCATCCAGAACCGACAACGCCATTCATTCCATAAGTTAAGTTTCACTCCACTGGTCCAATGAATCTGGCCTGGTGTTTTGAATCTGAGATTCTGAATGCCATTCCAACTCATCATCACTCACTTACCAGCATTCATTCATTATCCAGCAACTATCCACAAATTATCCACAAATTATCCACAAATTATCCACAAATTGTCCACCAATTATCCACAAATTACCCACAAATGATCGACCGATTATCCACCAATTGTCCACAAAAAGTGATCCACCAATTATCACACCAACTATCCACCAATAATGAATGACCAATTATCCACAAATGATCCACCAATTATCCAGAACTTATATACAAATTAATTGAAATTATCCAGAAATTATCCCACAACTTATCCAAAATCCACCCCTTATCCACAATTTATCCACAATTTCTCCAGAAATGATCGAGAAATTACCCCACAACATTCTTGGGCCGGGTTCGGGATGGAATGATTCCCCCCCCCCCTTACCACCACCAACACGGGCCCAGTGCCCAAGGATTTATATTTCAAAGAAAGAGTCTTGGGGCCGGGGTCCCCACAGTCTACCCGGAATGAAAACCTCTGGCAGTGTTGCCCAGTTTAGCTTACAGGGACTCAGCCCTGCAGGGGACCAAGACCAACCCCCCGGTGGAACACAAACTGCATACAGGACAGAGCTTGAAGCTTCATGTTCCCCGATGTCCATCAGCATGGCTGTTTCTACCGACAACTGTTCACAAACTGACTCCCTAACCCGGGAGGGAGGAACTTAAACTAGCTCCTGATTGGAGCAATACTCCCTCCTAATCCCCAAAGTGGCAAAGCCACATTCTACTGCCGTCTTTTTTTTTTTTTTTTTTTTTTTTTTTTTTTTTTTTTTTTT